ACAACAGTTGCTTCCCCTGATATTTTTTGGGGAGGGTTCGGGGGGCTAATCTCCCTCCTGATGTCTCCACTCCACTTATCTTTTAAGACTTGGTAGATTTTATGGAAGCAAGAAACTCCAGCAGCATGGTAGAAATTTAAAAAAAACTTTCATTTAAAAAAAATAAAAATAAACAATGTCAGACTCAGTATTGTGTAAATTTTTAAATAAAAGCTTTTTATTTTTTTACATTCCTACCAACCTGCTGTAGTTCCTTGCTTTCATCAAATCTAGCAAATCTTTAAAGATAAGTGGAGTGGGAACATCAGGAGGGAGACAAGTCCGAAATATCAGGAGTGCACCTGTGTATGCAATCATTTGTCAATATCTTGTGAGTTCAACTCTATGTTGGTGCTACTTATTAAATAATAACTGTATTACACTAAGTTAAGTACATATGTATTTTTAGGAGACAGATTATTCCTTTATATATTTAATGTACAAATGAAATACAGTCACTGAGAAAACAATCTGTTAACTTTACTGATATAAAAAGGTACCTGTAAACTGGAGATACATTGTTATCCTGATAATTCCAGTTTTTCTCCACAGCAGCAATGTAGAAGATTCTTGTCATTGATTCAGAGGCATGAAATAAAAGGGATAAATTAATCCACATCACAGGCCCCATCAAAGCTCCAAGCAGCCTGGAAAAGTACATTTCCATATCTCCTAATTGCATATAAATTTTGAGAACAGGTTTTCACTTTTCTTTCCCACAGAAGGAAGGAAACATTACAGCAGGAAATAAAGGCCATCCTCCACAAGTGACTATGCATTTTGTATTGTCAATTATCTGTACGGGTTTATAAAAAAATACATTTAAAAAAAAGTTACGAAATAGCAGTCAATAATCTACAATATATAATACAATGTCAAGTATGAAATTGGAAACATTGAATAGTCATAATTAAATGTGGTGAATACAGAAACATTTTACCTTAAATGTACTTGAAATTTACTAAAGACAATTCAGAGAAAACTTTAAAGAACTTTCAATTACAATTTGAAGTAATTTCGTATTTACTATTTAGTAAAATATAGCAATTAAGAAAATTATGAAAACAAAAAATGTTTCAACTTTAGAGAGTGGCACATTTACTGATATAGGCAAAATAGCAGGTCATATGTGTTTGTGCACTTGCGTATATCTGTATGTGTGTATGTGTCCCTGTGTCTGAGTGTGTGTATATTTGTGTCCATGTGTATTTCTGTGTGTGTCAGTGCATGCATGCCAGAATTCAAACATCAAGACTGCACACTAATACATCCCTATAATCAGATGCCAAAACATCACACAAAAATGTCCCTGCATTCAAACACCAACACTACATGGAAACAGAGCCCTACATTGAAATGAAAATGTACTCAAACACACCTCTGCATTGAAACACCAATACTACACGCAAACACAAGTAATGAACATTTGTAAAAAAGCTTCTGTTGGTGAAACCCATTAAGTGATTTATTTGTTTTACTGCTGTGTACTGCTGTTATTATTTGATTTACCTTATATACTATATTATCTCATAAAGTAGTTATTTTTATTACACCCTTGGATTTCATCCTGATCTTTCTATTAAAGCATGGACACAATTATTTTGGTGTGGAAAATACCATCTGAGCACTGTGGATTGAGCAAAACCTCACTTTGCGCCTTACTTGTGCATACCTCTCCAATGTTAGTGTACAATAATATCAGTGAGCATGGTCTTTTTTATTTTTGTTCTTTTATATATACTACCAATTCATCTACAAGCCTGTGAGACCCCGTGGTGGGCTGTACTTCATTGTGAGCCACCATACCTGGTTGGAGGTCCTATGCTCAGAAGCACTTTAAGTAATAGAAGACACCAAATATCCCTAGACAAGTGCTTCACCAGAAATCTCCTATAGCAACGGCCATGGGGTTAGATGATAATGAACGTAGCTGCCATGATTTTTTGTGATCTTCCCATCACTGTATATGTGAGAAATGTATGTTATGTTGTGGGCTTCAGCTATCAATCACATTCTTGAGAGTAATTGGAAGTTAGAGGTTAGCCATCAATGTATTGCCTTGCTGAAACTTTTCAGATTACTGAACCAGCAGCACTAATAGTACTTACACATTCAGTTAAAAATAGTTTGTGGTTGCCAGGCAAGCCATTCTCACACTATCAACTATGATAACACCAAGTATACCCTGTTTTTAAGTGCTTGATAAATGTATCATATGTGTATACCTTGCTTCTATCAGCAGGCCCTCCCCAGCATTGTCATTGATCAACATTACTTGATCTACTACATTGTATAATAATCTGCTAGTTAGTTCATCCATGCATCTATAACTCTTTGTATACATCTGCATTCCAATACATGACAGATTTTCTTCCTTTTGGATTTCTATATTTAAAGGGTACCTGTCATGCTCCCATATTACTTATGTTCTTTTGAATGAGCATATACTTTAGGTCAGAGAGACGAGGCAGCCTTCGAGGGCTGCTGGCAGGGGGCAGCAAGGGAGAGCTGATGTGTTTCCAGTTCCTCTCTGCTCCCTTGCATGCCCTCAGTAGTAATGTTGGGAACTGGACTATGATGTCACTCCGACTCCAGCATTACTAAAGAGGGCACAAGGAGAAAATTATCACTGGACCCCAAAGAGAAAATTCCCACAGTATCCCTTGGAGAGGACACACACCAGTTCTAAAGGTATGGAGGTTGGATGGGATTAAAAATAAAAAATAAAATAGAAATCTAAATAATATGGGTTGCTGTAGCAACTAAAGAAGGTTAATGTAAACAAGGGCCTGGTGCTCTTCACCCATGAGTACTTAAGGAGCTAAGTCCTCTGTTTTTAATCTTTCAAGATTTTTTATTTCAGGTATTGTACTAGAGGATTGGAGGAAGGTAGATGTGGTTCCTATATTCAAAAAAGGGTTCACAATCTTTGCCAGAAATTATAGACCGGTAAGCTTAACTTTGGTTGCAGTGAAAATATTTGAAAGATTATTAAGGGATATTCATTAGGAAGAACATTCTTGTTATTTGGTAGATATGGTACATTTTCAAGCTGGACAAGTGGTAAGTAATGTCCATCAGGGTTCTGTTCTGGGACTGCTTATATTTAACATATTTATAAATGGTCTTGAAATAGGCATTGAAAACCATGCTTCATTGTTTACAGATGACACACAACTCTGTAAAGTATACAGTGAGCAGGATATTGCTTTGCTGCAGGGGGATTTCGATTGATTGGGGGACTGGGCACTCAAGTGACAGAATTTAATGTAGAAAAGTTATGCCCTTTAGGGTAAAGAATACACAAGCAACTTACACCCTAAATGGTAGTGAATTAGGGATAACAAAACATGAGAAGAATTTGGAAACTAGGCAAAATGTGCAATGTCAATCAGCAGTTGATAAGGCCAGTAAGGTATTGTCATGTATAAATAGGGGCATTTATTCTTTGGATGAAAATATAATTTTTCCTCTTTATATATCACCAGTAAGACCACACCTTATATATGCTGTGACATGTTGGGCATCTGTTCTAAAAAAAGGATGTTATGGCATGAGAAAAGTGCATAATGAATAAATGGACGATGGCAGCACATTGATCTTGAATAATTCAAGTGTATCAGGAAACAAAGAAGAAGAGAGTTTGCACAACAAGGAGTAACTTTTTCTCCCTCCTCTTTTTGAGGTGTAATAGATATGTGCTACTAGAAGTACTATATGTTACAAAGAAAATTCAGCCATAGTCTTGTTGTATTGCAACCAATAAAATTTTAATATGTATGAGGTTTAGAAAAAAAAGGAAGATTAAAATAATGATTAGTCTTCACCTTTATGTATATTTCTCTTTTTTCTTGGTAAAGTAATCCAGCTTTGAATCCTATACAAACATTTGTTCTTAATGTGTTACATGAAAATATAACACAATCAGACTCTCCTGGCTTTTCTTATAAAAACAGATGTATTTTTCTTGCTTTGCAAATGCAAAGTCAGGTCTGACAAGGTCATTGATCTTAAATTGGTCAACAGGTGATGGTATATGCTGCACATTCAGAGCGGGGAGACAAATTTCCAAAAATTGAATATTCTACATTAGGAAAACAGACTTTGAACAGAGTAATACTTATGTTTACTATTGCTGTTTAATTTCTACCAAAACATATGACTACAAATAACCTTTGTCCATACTGAAAGAGTCTGCTTTTTTAGCACACACTCATAATCAACTGTGTGATAGCCTTCATAGAAGTGGTCAAGCACAGGACACTACTACTACTACAACACAGGTCTTTATGGGACGTTAATTGTGTTTATGGATCATAAGTATTATACACTGTGGTGGACCGCCTGGCACCCCGACTGGGTGCCTCCGCCAATCGCTGCTTCCTAGTGCTTACTGAGTACCACAAGAACCGCACCAGACACAATCAGCACTCTAGTCCCCACTTCCAGCATTACAGCTTGGCTGGGGTCTTGCCATCCTCCACCCACCCAGGACCCAAGACCAGGATCCAGCTTACAGTGGGCAGACCTCTCTTACTCCAGAGAGTGTAGCAAGCTGCTCTTACAAGAGCAAGTGATTATAACCCAGAGGTGTATAGTGATATAACAATGCCCAGGGTAGATACAGCCATTTCTCCCACACATGAGACGAGGCTCTATGTTGAGGGGGCAGGAACTCATTTAATGGTAGCCACAACTGGCCTTATATGCAAGTCCCCATGCAAGGGGTACTCCCAACTGGACCTGATGGAAGACTACAGTACAAAGTTACAGACCAATGACAAAGTTGTTCAAGTACATGACAATCCCATACATAATAGGTTAATCCCTCCTCTGTACCTGAGAGATAATTAAGTCAAGCACTGAACTATCAAAGTGGGTAACCAAACCCTGCAACTTCCCTTAGATGTAGGAAATGCCTTTAACAATTATTTTGTCGGATGCTCTACTGCCCTGATTGCCAAGCTAATAAATGACACGCATCCTGAAACTACAAATGTGGATCAGGTCACACAAAATTTGCAAAGGCCCAATATAGACAAGTTTATTTTTAGACCTGTACCTGTTAGTGTCATTAAAAAACATCTTAATAATCTAAAAATGAAAAACCAGTCCGGACCTGATCAAATCCCAGCAATGCTGTTGAAGCTCAGTGCGCCGGCAATTGCTAAACCCGTCTCAACTCTAATTAATGAATCCTTGGTGTCTGGATACATACCCAAACTTTGGAAGACTGCGAGAGTAGTGCCTATCCATAAAAGTGGTGACACTACTTTGGTTTATAACTATGGCCCAATATCATTGCTCCTGGTATTGTCAAAAATCTTAGAAAAATGTGTCCATACGCAACTTTGTGAGTACTACCAACAATTTAACTATCTGACCCCTGATCAATCGGGCTTTTGCCAGAATCACTCCTCTACAACTGCCCTCCTAAAAGTTTGCAATGACATTCAAACTGGCATGGAACAAGGAGCCCTAACTGGAGCTATTTTCCTTGATTTTGCTGAGGCCTTTGACATAGTAGACCACGACATTCTACTGCACAAGCTCAAAAAAACTCAGGTATTGGTGATCGTTCTCTAAACTGGTTTCGATCGTATGTATCGGATCGCTCGCAATATGTGTCCATTTCTGACAGTGACTCCCTCTCCCAGTTGTCAGGATCTTACCTGATGGGGAGTCCGGCTCGCAGAGTTACACGCTCACCCTTGCAAAGTAGACACAAACCAGGGTGACCAGGTAACACGCCACCTGATCTGTGAGTCTGTGCACGGGGGCTTTCCAGGAATAGTGCTCCAAGTAGCAGTACAGCAGGGATTAGCAGAAGCGTAGTCAAGGAAAGCCAAAGTCAGGGGAAGCCAGATATCAGAGTAGTCCAGGAGGAAAGCCAAGGTCAGAAGCCGGAATTAGACAAGAATCACTGGAACGCAGGTACGAAGTAACAGGAACCAAACAAGGGAACCAGAGTCAATGAACTGACACTGCCCTCAGGGAGAGGCAGTGTCTTATACCTGGCTAATTTGTGATCAGCCACAGGTGTGCTGAGATCGTTGGAGCAGCCACAGAATAATGTCCAGCCCCCAATGCTGGGTACAAGACAAGATAGAGTTCTGTCTATCTCTAGAGCTGATATGGTGGCTCAGAGTCAAAGTAGCAGCCCCAGGACTGCAAAGTACGCTGGTTCAAGTCCGTCAGCGGGCACTTCTGGGGCGACCTCGTCTGGCCGTCGGGATGTCGCGGTGAGAACCGTGACACCAGTCACGTGTGGTGTTCCCCAGGGTTCCATTCTCGGCCCCCTACTATTTACATTATTTATAAATGATCTGCCTAATGTCTGCCAATCCTCAAATGTACACATGTACGCAGATGACACGGTAATCTACGCGAGCAAATCCAATCTACCGCAACTTGAGGCTGTGCTCCAAGACCAGTTTACAGAGGTAGAAAAGTGGATCGCAAAAAACAAACTCTTCCTGAACACTGACAAAACTGTCACAATTGTCTTTGGAACAGTACCTAAGTTACACAAATTACACAATTCCCACCTATCCATCAAAACAAATTCAAATGGCACACTGTCCACTCTTTCAAATACTTGGGTATGATATTAGACCCCAATCTATCTTTTGGCCTGCACATAGAAAAGCTTGCATCTAAACTTTATCCAAAATTAGGTGCCCTGAACAGAAGCAAAGCCTGCCTAAGCCCTACAGTAAAGGAAAAGATTGTACAGAAAATGCTGATGCCAATCATTGATTATGTGGATGTAGTATATGCATCTGCATCACAATCCCACATTAATAAACTCAACACATTGTATAACTCGTTCTGCCGATTTGTGCTACAATGTAATTACAGGACCCATCATTGTGACATGCTAAAAGAACTAAACTGGCTATCGCTGGAATCCAGATGCACCCTTCATCTTTCCAGCCTTGTTTTTAAGAGCTTTTCTGGGAAACTCCCACCCTACCTGAACAAAATGCTTTCCCCAGCTGTTCCCACTTTCTGTAAGCTCCGATCCAGTACAAGCACTTTACTTAGTCTACCTCAATACAAAAAGAAAGCGCCCGATCCTCCTTCTCCTATAGAGCAACGCAATTGTGGAACGCCCTCCCGCACAATTTAAAATCTTCCCTAAGCCTAAAGTCATTTAAGAGATCCCTCTCTACATCCCTCAAAACAGAATGCACGTGTCATGGTTGATTATATATTTCCTGCCTGTTCTATGTTAAATTTTGTATATATTGTGTATTAATATTGTTTTTGTATTTTGTTGTACCTAATGTAACAATGCAGTGATTTGTGGACCCAGGACATACTTGAAAACAAGAGAAATCTCAATGTATCTTTCCTGGTAAAATATGTTATAAATAAAATAAATAATAACTAGTTGCTATGTATGTGGTGGCTCCAATATGGGTGATCAGTGGCCCTGGGAAGCATATGAGACAGACTTGCTGGTACTACAGCAGGGAGAGGGAAAGGTATAGTACCTCGTCCCAATTCTGAAGGGTTGTTAAAGAACTCCTTGATTGAGAATGAGGGGATAGGTAGATCTGGTCCAGAATTTGAGACTTTTGTATGTACTCTCACGTGTCTAGAGCAGCAAACGTATAATTCTTCTGATAGGACTACCTCCTGGTGATTCGCAACCAGTGCAATTGAACTATCCCCTAGACCCCTTGGTAATTATCCACATCTAAAAGATGTATGGACCAATTTGTCTGCAAGGTCCACTTGGATAGTGCCCAATAATATGTATTGGATTTGTGGACTTAAGGACTACTCTAAACTCCCCAGAGATTGGTCGGGAGCCTGTGTTCTAGGAACTTTGAAACTTCCTTCTTCTTGCCTCCCTTAGGGGAGGGTGAGATACTTGGATCCTTGGTATGTGAATAGCTCTTAAAGCAGCAAAGAGCACTGACGGTAGGTCAATGGAAGGATAATGAGTGGCCCCCAAATGAATAATTGATTATTATGGTCCTGCTACATGGGCTAAGAATGGAACTTATGTTTAACGTACCCCTATTTACAGGTTGAATCGAATAATCAGGTTACAAGCTGTAGTTGAAATTGTGACTAATGAAGCTTTTGGCCAAACAGAATACCAGAATGCGGTCTGTTATCTATCAGAACCACCTAGCCTTAGACTATTTGTTAGCCACTGAAGGGGGTGTATGTGGAAAGTTAAACTTGTCTAATTGTTGTCTTGAGATTGATGATGAAGGGGAGGCCAGAAATGACATTGTTGATAAAATAAGGACAGTGGCCCACGTTCAAGTACAGACATGGAACGGGCTAAACCCTAGTGGTTTGATTCATTTGGGTATTTGAAAACTCTAGTGAGAGAGTTCTACTCCTGATGGCACTTTGTATGCTACTCCCATGTTTGATTACGGTGCCGATCCGTTCCCTCCATAGTTTAATTTACGCTACTATAGAGAGGAAAACAGCAGCTCATGTTCCTGCCCTTTGGAGGTATACACCCCATCCACCAAAAAGATACTGCGTAACCTCACTTTCCTAGAACCCAAGACTAGATTGGCATGGTATTTCTGGTTATGATGCATATCAGCCACCTGTATCCAGGTGTTGAAGCATCAAAGGGGAGGAATGTGGTAGAAGTTACAGGATTTTTAAAAAGAAAAGCTCAGTACTCACATGGTTAAAACTACTGTGCAACCATCTTGGACCAGGGCGCATGTGTGAAATGTCAGGAACGCTCACTATTAGATAACATATGTAAGATATAAGTCTTAGTTTAATAATTTGATGTAAATATAGTGATGTAGGTGTAATTTTTATATTCTCTGTATATGTATGGAATACGTCATTTGTGGTATATATTCTTTGTTTTCTTGTAAACGTGTGCTCAGTTGTCTGACTGGGACTTTGCAGCTGCAAAACAATAAATAGCCTTTGTTCTTCAACGACCTGTGTCTGGAGTGTTTGGAGAGTCCCTGCATCATCTCTGACCCGAGAATTCTTCCACACTTTCAGTGATGCCTATGTGTATTGGTTTCTCGGCAGGCTTTGCATTTCCCGCATCCAAAGAAACCTTGATACTGTCTCAAAAAATGTTAGTATTGCAGTTATTCTCATCTTGTTCTATTAAAATTTTATCAGTTAAAATCCTTTTTAAATTAGGTAATCCTCTTCATCAAGTTGTTTATTATCTTTATTCCTATATTTTAAAAGCATGGATCTATCTATATCTTGTACTTGTTCTACAGCTATCTTGAGAGAGGTGTCAGTATACTCTCTGCATTTAAAAATCATAAAATGTGTTCTGTCCCTGGTTGATAAAATCTTTAGTATTTATACAATTCATTTATACAGGAGCTTGTTTTCTCAATGTAAGTTTACATCCTATGCTTAAAATAATAATAAAATAAAAAAATCAAAGAGACACCCCAATCATTTGAAGTAAGTTATTAAAATTGTATGTGCCTACATTGACAGTATCCTTCGGTCTGGGGAAATTTTTAGTATTATTTCGAGTAGAATTGTGATTCATATTATTATTATAATATAATAATAATAATAATAATAATAATAATAATAATATAAATCACTATTCCACTCAAGATAATAGTAAACATGTCCCCAGACAGAAAGGTACAGTTAGCAATGTGGGCACTTACAATTTGTATCAGTCCCATAGTCCAAGAGAAACACTGAGAATAAAAAAAAAAAAGTTTGCAACTAAATGCGCCAGAAAGAAGGAATCCAGATACACCAAACTGGCAAACTAAAAAAAAAAAAAAAAACATAATGAGCATGACAGGTGACAATACAGGTGGAGAAAAGAATCGATCTCAAACACTGACATTCCATTCAGAAATAGACTTGATCTTCTTTCTAACCAGAATGTTTTTTTAGAAAGGAGGAAAAAGATGTGGGTCAATTCCCCACCCACCCCATATGGTGCAAAAAGAAGCAGAATACGAGAGGAAGAGGCAACGGGGGCAGGAGAAGGCAACATAAGGAACTAGAAGACAATCAGGACATAACATCTTTGGATATTTTTAATTTGTCTGATAAGTGTTTGAATAAAGATCACATTAACTTATTAAAATAAGGTTTAAAATTTGCCTTGACAAGTTTCAGTTTTATATAGAACTACAAAGGTTTAATAGAAACCATGGTCTTAAATTATTTCTTAAAGAAAAAACATGTTTACAGAATAAGGAACATCCTTCTAGTATGGTTCAAACCACTTTAAAAGAAAAATCTCCCTTTCATCCAAAATGGCTTGTGTTCAATGAGATTGATGAATTCAACAAATGGTGAAGCATGATATTAATCAGATAAGATCTTTGAATAAATATCAGTTTAATTTAACTATGCTTGAACAAAGAGGACTTTGAGAAATGACAAAAGCGTTGTAGTGAAACCAGCGAACAAAGGAGATGGTGTGGTGGTTATGAAGCACCACAGAATCACAGAACCGAAGCAGAATCATGGAGACTCCTTAATGATGATAAGACATATTGCAATGTGAAGGTAGATCCAACAGTTGAGATAAAAAAAAAAGTTTTTTAATTTAATAGATAAGTTTTTTTATTTTTTATTATTGAGCAATTTTTTTCACAGACATGCATGACACATTGCTTTGAATATCAGTATGCATACAAATTTTAAATGCAGAGAGTATACTGACACCTCTCTCAAGACAGCTGTAGAACAAGTACAAGATATAGATAGATCCATGCTTTTAAAATATAGGAATAAAGAAGATAACAACTTGATGAAGAGGATTACCTAATTTAAAAAGGATTTTAATTGATAACATTTTAAAAGAACAAGATGAGAATAACTGCAATACTAACAATTTCTTGAGACAGTATCAAGGTTTCTTTGGATGCGGGAAATGCAAAGCATGCCGAGAAACCAATACACATAGGCATCACTTAAAGTGTGGAAGAATTCTCGGGTGGCAACAGTGGTAGATATCTTGGTTACATGAAAAATACATGGGTTTACATATATTGAGTGTCAGCAACGTTCAGTGAGGTTTATTTGTGTAACCTTGGGATGGGGTAACTGAGGTAGGGTAGGGAGGGTGGGGGGGGGGGTAAAAAACCTGAGTTATCAAGCTTGCTGTGGACTAGGTTTTCGTGTATACCACCCGTTTGAGCCAGTGGCCTATTCGTAGGCTCGGTGATGGACCCATCATGCAGGAGTTAAACACTCTCCATTGTCTTGCCTATATTGTACATCGTCTTTCTGGCAGTTCTGTTATCTTACAAGCAAGCAGATAAGTGGGTTCTCCACTTGGGTAGCTTATATGAGCACGGCTGTCGACCGTCCGGGTGGGTTCATGTGTTGGATGTTGGTGGCGTGGTGCTCCTCTCCTCAGTCCATCTTTCCCGTGCTATCCTCCATATTTTAGACGGTTTACTGTGATCCTTGCTGCACATGCGGAGGTTTTGTTGTGGTCCACCAAGTGGATACATTCTTGTATTGTTGGGGGTTCACTAGTGCGCCACTTTCTGCTTATAAGTGTAAGTGCTGCTATATTTATTTGGTAGCAGAGGTACAACTTCGCTTTTGCTAGTTTGGGGGGGGTAGTTTTGTAATATAAAGGCCTCCGGGGTGAATGGTATCTTAAGCTCGGTCACTGAAGCTATCAGTCTCGCCACCTCTTGCCAGTATTTTGATAGTTTGGGGCAGCCCCACCAGATATGGAGTATGTCCCCTATCCCATTTTGGCATCTCCAACATTGGGTTCATGCAGTGTAAGCGTTTTGGTACTAAGTACCATTGATATAGAAGTTTTGTTGAGAGTGCTATATGGGAGGAGCGTAGGGTTAATTTTTTTGTGGGTGGCGAAAAGCTGTTCCCATGTTTTGTCAGGGAGGTTTAGACTTAGCTCGCGCTCCCAGGCTTATACAAATGGAAGGTTTTTTTTATATTTGGTTCTTTATTTAAACTGGCATATAGCAGTGAAATTGTTTTCCTGGCTGCTTGTTGCATTGTCATGGCCCGTTCGAGGTTCGTCAGCCGTTGCGCATGTACATTTTTCATTACAGGTATGTAATGTTTGAGTAACCAAGCCCTCACCTGGAAATAGGAAAACTCAGCAGTGTTTGGCAATTTATGATCTTTTTGCAATTGTGGGAATGGTATGACTGTCTGCCCCTGTAGTAGTTGTGAGAAGTGTTTAATATGGTGTCGTTCCCATACTCGAAAGTTAAAATCTGAGATCAACAGTTGTAGTGTGGCAATTGTCATTGCTTGGGAGTAGGCTTTTGTTTTGCATAGAGTGGCCCTATGAGCCTCCCATATCGGTTTTGTTAGGGTTGTGGTGGGTAGCATCTTTATGCTTTTGGGTCTGAGGGTGGGCGGGATCCACATGATCGAGAGGAAGTGGTGCCCAGTAATTATGTCAGATTCCAGGGCCACGATGATGGGGTTAATGTTAGCTGCTTGGTAATAGTGTTGTAGGTTGGGGAGGCTCATGCCTCAAGTGTTATGTTTGTACAACGTGGTAGTGGCCACCCTAGGTTTTCTGTGTGCCCAAATAAATTGGTTCAGTAGTGTTTGGGTATCTTTAAAGTAGGATGCTTGTATTCAAATAGGGAGGGTTCTGAATAGATACTGATATTTAGGTAGTATCACCATTTTCACTGCGGCCACTCGGCCTATCCAGGATGTAGCGGAGAGCTGATATTTCACAGGTTATCTCCACTTAAGATCCCAGTGAGGCTCAGGAACAAGTATTATAAATCCATAAGGCAAGGTTTTCAGCAGGCAAAACAATCCAACAGTATCCCAACCTCAATCCCAATCCCAATGACTGGACGACATACAGCATCAGGAGCAGAACTGAACTTTTAATCACACAGATTCTTTATAAAGCATTCTCCCATGCAAGGGAGGGATTTACAATCATTAGTACAGTATCCAATCATACCTAAATAGCCGCCCACACATCTCCTCCCCTTAGCCTGACTCATAATCCCATTATACAGGACACAAATTCCCTGGGTTTCTGGATGTACCCCTAGCCGAGTGTCCGAATTGAGTTCCAGACACTCGACTGCAAAACACAGCTGTTCGGGAGTTTAAAATAGCCGCCGCGTGTTCGTCTCCCGAATGGCGGCCACCCAGAGAACAAAGAATCCACTGCACGGATTGCCAATTACCCGTTCGCAACATTGTTGCAAACGGTAATTGGAGGCACACTTACTACTGGGGTGGTCTGACTGTTCGGTAGTTTCACTCTCATAATAACTGGAGTGATTCTACCGAACAATCAAACGAATGCTGCATACATAGGTAACAATTCAACCGAACACATAGGAATAACTAATTTTTAGGACAGCCCAATGCTATCCGCTACACAGGAGATAAATTTTTTGTGCCAACCTTGGAGGAGTGATTTCACTTGGTTCTGTAAAGTTACAAAGTTTGCTTTAAAGAGGTGGGTTACTGAAGCGGTTCATTTGATACCTAGGAAGGTGAGGTGGTCCGAACTCCAGTCGTATTGGAACCTAGATTTCAAGTATGTTACCTCATCGCTAGGGAGATGTAAACTCATGGCTTGTGTTTTGGTTACATTTAACTTATAGTAGGAGCATCTACTGTAGGCCTTTAGTGTGGTTGTAAACATTTATAGAGAGGTTTTGGGATTAGATAGTGTGAGGAGAATGTCGTCTGCGAACAGTGTAAGTTTGTATTCTCTCTGGTGCATTCTTATTCCTTGTATATGCAGGTGGGTATGGTATATGGTGAGGGGTTCTAGTGCTAGGATGTAGAGCAGGGGGGACAGTGGGCACAAAACTAGGATTTTAGCTTTAACAAAATGTGTTTCTTGGATGCATAGGATATTCGCCTGAGCGTGTTTTGCTTCTCTGAGTAGCATCCTGCATTTGTGTGGGGTGTTTATTCCCCTGACATTATGTGAATAGATTTTCAGCATTTGGGATGGTAGGTTGAGCTAGTAATTCTCTCACTCTTTTGGCCTGTGCTAGTGTGCTAATGTTGCTATGAAGCTCGCTGGTCAGGTTGGGTCTCAATGCAGGGTCACCAATCTTGCCGGTTACCTCTAGGATTTGCTCTTTATGAAGCTTTACGTTACACTGTGTGCTAGTCTGGTATTCGTAATAGGTTTGATGTTGTCGGGGTGGTGCATTTCCCACCTTGAATGATGATCCCAGGGTGGGTAGGGGAGAGGAAACAAGCATATTTAGGGTGGTACAAGGGGGTAAAGGGGCTATATACAGGAGGTTCCCCGGGTGGGGCCCAGTGGCACACAGGTGCCCTGTGGGGATCTGAGACATTGTGTCTCTTGTGGGTGGCTAGTGAGCCATCTTACTCATAACATTAGGTGTATAGAACTCCTCGTTATTCTTTGTTTTTCACCATTTTGCCATTACTCCTGGGAGATTTTGTTGGAGAGTATTGTTGGTGAAGTTGGCGTAATGGCAGTTGCCTTCTCCTCTTTTGGGAGGTGCGATACTATGGGTTCAATGGGTGAGACCTGCACTACTCCTCAACAATTATACCTCGGGTGTTATCAGTATTCTATTGATTTGTTTCTCGCTCTCAGCTTTCTCTCTTATCGTTTGAACATAAAAAAAACACTTTTTTTTTTAATTGATTGATTTACAACATGTTTTTGCTGTGGTTTGATTTCCCATAAATCAATTGACTTCCCCCTTAAAATATTTTTTTATTTTATTAGGTACTGCGGCCTAGCCAACATTGCCCTCTGGATGTCTGTTGGGCTCAGGAACAAGTGGTTTTCGCCATGTTGGGGGGTGTATGGGGTTCTGCCTGTTTCAGTCCCCTTAGGTTCTCCGTGGATTTAACCCGCACTCTCCCTTCCCCCTTGTCGCATATAGATATATTACGTGTGGCTAAGCGCTGAGTGATGGGGGAATCGGGTGCGTCATTGGGGTGGGGGGCATATTATCATATATACATTTTAAAAGCACTTGGTATTGCAGGTAAGTAACATTTTACGGAGTGTATAAACATACCTTGGAGATATTTGCAATACAGGGAGTCTCTTGTATTGAGGCGCAGTTCAGAGTGTTTAGTGTTTATTGTGTCCCTTGTACCAGTCCAGTTGGAGTCTTCTAGGCTGGAGGACTGCTTGTTCTTCAGGTAGGTTTTCTAGTCCCCAGGATCTTAGTTTGCCGAGGCCTTCTTCCGGTGAGGGCAGGGTTGTCATTTTCCCGTCTTTGATAGGGAACCCCCAGCGGTACCTCATGCCATTGGATCTCAGGATTTCCACAAATCGGTGCAAAGTCCCTTCTGCGGAGTGTCGCCGCCAAGAGGTCACTGAAAAGTTTTATATATGGGTAGTCATCTGGCGGTTTTGCTCTGTTTCTGCTGGCCCTTAAATGTGTGTGTTAAATAATGTGATAGTAGTGAGCCCTTATTAGGATGTCTCTAGGCGTTGTGTCCAACAGATGTCTGGGCGGTCTACCAGCAGCATGTCGGCGGGAATTTCAGGTGCGTAGGCATGGAGGAGGCCGTGGATGTAGGTCTGTAGTTCTGCTGGTGTGACAGATTCAGGCACTCCTCTAATGCGGATATTTCACCTTGCCCGGTCCTCCAGGTCCGCAAGCTTTGTTTTGGTGCGTTTGAGCTTTGCTTCCAATTATTCCACATGGCTTGCTAAATCATTATGAGCGGAGGCGAATTCCTCCATTTTGGATTCAGCTTCTGTGCTGTCGCCATCTTTATCAGAGGCTTCTTGCTCAGTTTGGTCGGGAGCCGCTTTTTGCGTGAAGAAGTTTATTTTTTCTGGTTTGGAGGCATTCTTTTTGTCTTTATGTTGAGACATCTTCGTTATTATGGCTTGTTTTGCACTCTATACACCAGGATGGCGATGGATTGAGAGCTCATGACCCGGAGCGGTGGATTATGCTTCCATCTTGCTCGGCTGCTAGCCACGCCCCTCATTTAAAGTTTTAAATAAAAAAGAGGCACAATATTTAAACATTAAGCAAGGAACCCAATGTTCTATTTATTACCTAAAATTCACAAGGATCTCGCAAACCCCCTGGCAGATCTATAATTTCTGGTATTAATTCAATATCCAGCAGGCTGTCAGAATATATTGATCACGTTCTGCAGCCGGTTGTAAAAAAAAAAATCATATCTTAGAGACACCACGCATATTCTCAAGGCCCTAGAAGGTGTCAAGTGGGAGGAAGACTACACCATGATTAAACATGAAATGGGTGTCAAAGCTACAGAATACTTTTTTGTTAAAAATCCTCTCTATCCCCTGAGACCCAATTCAATTTGTTTTAGAAGATATTCAATTGATTTTAAATAACAATTATATTTGGTTTAATACTTTTTATCTTCAAACATGGGGAATTGCAATGGGCACCAGGTTTGCCCTCAGTTATGCCAACTTGTTTTTGGCTTACTGGGAGTTATATTACAGACTGACTGGGGGTCAAACCTGGTGCTGTATAAACGCTACATAGAATACTTGTTTTTTTATTTGGAAGGAAGGTGAGGACCTTTTAAAGGATTTTATTAAAGAAAATAATTCAAATGATTGGGGTGTCTTTGATTTTTAATTTTAGCCAGTCATTTTTTATTTTATTTTATTTTTTTATAGAAAATGAGCATTAATACCAGAACCTTTTTTAAAGCAGAGGATGTATATAGGTACATTGAGAAAACAAGCTGTAATTTTAGACCCTGGCTGGATAATGTACCAAAAAGTAAATTAATTTGGATTAAACTGAATTGTACAAATTTTAACTGACACCTCTCTCAGGGCCGGATTAACATAGGGGCTGATGGAGCTGCAGCTCCAGGCCCAGGCCCATGGAATAGGCCCATTAAAAAAAAAAAAAAAAAACTTTTTTTTTTTTTAGTTTTTTTACACACTACTCTTAGGTTTGCCACCTGACTGGTATTTTAATGGCACAGACGGTATTTGAGGCTGCCTGGCCATGCCGGTATTGCAGTAATACCAGCAATACAAATGCAGGTAATTTTCTCAGAATAAATGGAAATTACTCTGCAATACCAGCACCGGCCAGTAGGGGTCACTGTGTGTGGAGAGAGGCAGGGATAGGAAGTTACAGCATATCCCTGCCTCTCTCTACTACTCACTGATCCGTGGGGGAGCAGCTACACAGCACAGAGAGTCCAGACAGCAGCTCTACAGCTCAGGTAAGTGAGGGATGGGGGGAAAGGCAGCAGGGACACATGGGGACACTGAGACACTAGGGGACACAGACACTAGGGGACACATGATGACACATACACTAGGGGACACTGAGACACTAGGACACAGACACTGGGAGACCTGGGAACACTGAGACACATGGGGATGCTGTGAGACATAGGGACATTGGGAGACACTATGTCCCCCAGCCAGTGTCCCTAGTGTCTCAGTGTGCCCAAGTCTCCCAGTGTCGGTGTCCCATGTCTCTCAGTGTGCCTAGTGTCCCCATGTGTCCCAGTGTCCCCATGTCTATGTCCACAACTGTCCCCATGTCTCCCCAAGTGTCTGTCTCCCAGCCAGTGTCCCCTAGTCTCCCAGTATCCCCTAGTCTCCCAGTGTCTGTGGCCCTAGTGTCTTAGTGTTCCCAAATGTTTCATTGTCTCCACGTCTCCCAGTGTGTTCCTAGTGTCTCAGTGTGCCTGGTGTCCCCATGTCTCCCAGTGTCCCTATATGTCCCAGTGTCCACAACTGTCCCCATGTCTCCCAGTGTCCCCAAGTGTCTGTCTCCCAGCCAGTGTCCCCTAGTCTCCCAGTGTCTGTGTTCCCATGTCTGTGTCCCTAGTGTCTTAGTGTCCCCAAATGTTTCAGTGTCCTCATGTCTCCCAGTGTCTTAGTGTCCCCAAATGTTTCAGTGTCCCCATTTCTCCAAGTTTCCCTAAATGTCTCAGTGTCCCCGGGTCTCAGTGTCCCTGGGTCTCTCAGTGTCCCCAGTATCCTAGTGACATGGGGACACACTGAGACATTGGGACACTGGGAGAAATGGGGACACAGACACTGGGAGACTAGGGGACTGGGCGACATGGGGACACTGACACTAATACATAGGGACACAGACACTGGGTGACTTGTGAGACTGAGACACTGGGAGACAGGGAGACACTGGGAGCAATCCATCTATACAGCAGAATCAAACTGTGAGTAGTTTGGTGATTTTACAGAATTTTCTCTGATGTCACTCCTTGTGATTTACATCATGTGATGTCACGCATAACTAATTAATTATACAAATTATTAAGGCTGGTATTTTTTTCCAAGAAAGGTGGCAACCTTAACTACTCTTCACATACTCTTGCTTAAAGGAGCACTATAGGGTCAAGAACACAATCATGTATTTCTGACCCTATTATGTTAAAACCACCCCCCTGGCCCCTTCTTGCCTCCCTAAATATAGTAAAATATTACTTGTATTCAATTCTGCAGCTGCTGGCTCAGAAGTGGTGGTCTGAGCAAATTACAATACTTCCCCATAGGATTGACTGAGACTGTCAACTAGGCAGATCAGGGGCAGAGCCAGCACAAGTCCAACATAGCCCTGGACAATCAGCATCTCCTCATAAAGATAAATTGAATCAATGCATCTCTATGAGGAAAGTTCAGTGTCTGCATACAGAGGGTAGAGACACTGAATGGCAGTGCTGCACACTAGGCAGTACTGCCCCAGGAAGCACCTCTAGCAGCCATCTAAGGAGCAGCCAGTGGAGTTATTTTCTCTGAAAAGACAGTGTTTACTGCAAAAAGCCTGAATGGAATGATTCTGCTTACCAGAACAAATACAATAAGCTGTAGTTGTTATGGTGACTATAGTGTCCCTTTAAGTTTGGAAGCTTAAGAGGGATGTATGGGAACAAAACTTGTGTGCACTTGCTGACATTAAAGTTAGTTTAGGTAATGCAGACGTTGGTCTCTCTAACACTGTGGCATGTCCCCTTTCTTCTACACTCACTACAGACATCTTTTCTCTGTCTCAGACTATATACCAGGAACTTCTGCCTGCTAGTAAGAAGGTAAGGAGACAAGTGGACCAGCGAGTGCTAGGGGACAGTCCTTAGAAAGAATGGAGTGAGCGCATCATTAGACGCATTTATGTCAAGCTCAAGGTGCTGCCTGCATTGTATGCCCTTAGTTGGACAGCCTGCAGGATTGGCAGGCAGCCTGACATGCATTCATGCCAGGCTGACCTTCCAATACTTTGGACAAACATGCCCCTTTTTGGGCATGTTCACCCCTTTTGGCAGGTCTTGTCACGTGATTCGCGCCAGTGGCACGCCCTTTTACCCCGCCCATTGACTTCCTGCT